TATTATCAGATTATGAACAGAAGAAAATCCAAAAACATTTTGAAAACAATATCTTTACCAATAGCCATCGCTCCATTCAAAGTTGTCTAACATTGACCAAGCAGTGTACGCCACGACATTGGCCTTATCGTCTTCAATCGCGAGAACCTGGTGGAAGATATTAGTTAGAATAATAACATACTTGTTTTATTTATCCATCTTGATTTCATTTTTAATATTAATCACCTGTTCCAAATGCTTCTTATGGTAATCTATACGATCTTGATCATCTAAATCCTCGCCGCTGGTTGCGAAACCATTCTCTGTTATAAAGATCTCCATGTTTCCATACTGTTTCTTCAACCAAGATATGAGCTTTCGGAAACCTTCCGGGTACACCTGGAACTCGAGTTAGTTGCTTTTTTATTGTTTCAATCACTACTTGGCTGTCTACATTACCCTCCAATAAACACGTATGACGTACGATCAGTTTCCAAAGACAGTGTTCAGCCTCAATGAGTCTTACAACTGTATATAGTAACAACAACACTCACATAGAACCAGCTGGAGCCAGCTTGCGGCCATTCTGGTCTCACTGATATTATTACATCAATGTCTGGTCCACCGAAGAGAGGCCAAGGACCAACAGCTTACCCTCGGGCGAGGCGAGCATTTCGTGATGTGTAGTAGTTCAAACCGTACAAGTCATACGTGCCTTTGAAAAATTCAATCAAAAAAACTTTGAAAGGGACGCCTATTGCTATTTATATGGCTTTCTTATAACTTTACTTATAAATTATAATTATTAATAGAAAATCTTAGTTTTGGTATTAATTTATGTAACGATTAGACTATTTATATTTTATTCTCACCTCTTATAAGTTTTCTTTCTTCTTTTGTGAATTCTGGTAATCTGGATTTCCTGAATCCCTGTTGTTTACTCTTTTCTGCTATGAGTTTTTCTATTTTCTTCGGCCAACCGCCTTACTTAGAGTAGATTGGGTGTGAGTACAGTCCTCCCTGAAATTATACGACAGTAAATGAACATTTTCAATCATTATAATTAAACTTCAAAAGTATTTAGTAACACTATTATTTTTGTTTAGTTTTTGTGTTTTCACCATTAACTGTAGAGTCAGTTCAGCCGCTTCTCCTTCATTTTCATCTTCTCCCTCAAACCACATGACTTGATTGGTGATGGACACTTTTGCCTTTAAAATATAATGAAATACATTTGCATATGTATGCAGAATTAATTCAGAAGAACTTAGAGATTTTATTAATTAACAAAAAATCAAGTACCTAAAGTATTTTTTATAAATTCATATAATTCTTTTACCTTTATATTTTCGTCTAAACTCCTTGTCATATATCCGCCATGCTTTAGCGTGTGCCAACATTGTGTTCTTGCTGCAGATATAATTTCCAACTCCAGTGCTAACTATTCCTGGAGCGTGAACTCCAAAAGTGTAAGCAATGTCGCAAAACGTCAGCGGTTCATTGAGAGTGATCCAAGTTTTGACTCGGTCAGCGTATAGAGTGAACACAACACGAGCGTAGTCCGCAAACCAATCTGATATCAAAGGATTGGTCCGGCCGCCTGTGAATTATAACTTAGATTAACAAATATTTCATATAGTGCTACAAGCTTGTGTAGAATGCCCTGAAAGGTGAGGATTCTTATTGATGAACATTTTATTTACAAGATTTATTTAAAGTTCCTGTTTTCTTAGATTAGAACTCATTAATATTTATTCATCAATATGATTTGCCGTTCAAAGGTTTTCGTTTAATATGCGAATGAAGAAATCATTTGCAAAGAACATGTTGTTACTGAAAAATATTAATTTAAATGGGTTCTTCAGTTTTATCAGGAAAGATGAACTCTTTGAACTTATATAATTAAAATTTATAATAAAGTATTTTGAAAACAAGTATTTTGTTTTATTATTTCACCGTGTATAACTATTTCTATTATTTGTAAGTGTGTTGTGTTACGTATTTTTGAGTGCTGATGTGTTTTTTTTTTTTTATAAGTGAAATACTTATTATAAAATCTGTGTTCGCATAATTGTTGGATTGCAACTCAGTTCATTTATAATGATTACTCATTAATTATTCGCATATTTAGTTGTAATCTGTCGTGTGAACCATTTAAAATAAATAAATAAATTATTTATTCTATTTTATATACATAGTGAAGAAGCAATGCATTTGTATTAATTATTTTTAACAATAGTGTCACATTTCTGAAACTCACCAAGATCTTGTAAATTTTGTGGTAAATCCCAGTGATATAATGTAACAACAGGCTCGATTCCTCTCTTCAATAAAGCATCTATAAAGTTGCAGTAAAATTTTACTCCGTCTTCACTTGTCTTATTTGCAAAACCATGAGGCAAAATTCTTGGCCAAGAAAGAGAAAATCTATAAAAAATATATACACAAATTAGATATCATATTAAAAATGTACACTAATATTCCGTAATAAATCAATTATTTACTAACTGTAGTGTATGTATCTATACAATAGATATAATACACTGTCTCACGTACCCTACCGGAGGGGGTGGCATGCGCTCGGCAGTCTAATGACTAGCGCGGAGTGGAACGGTGGCGTGCGCCTGCGCTCTAGGCGGGGTAGTAGTGAGCCAGTGACTAGTTATACTTACATGTAGGACCTGGGATCCTACATAGTTTGATTTTTCATAACACTGTTTCTTACATTAATTTATTTTCAATATTTTTATTTGGCTGTCAACAGATATGTGTCCTTTTTTGTATCATTAATTGCATGATTTCTATAAGCTATAGCAATTATTTTCCAAATCCCTCTTAATATTATAAATGGGTAGGTCTGTCTATCTGTATGTTACGAGTACGTTTTCACGACTAAACCGTTGAACCGATTGTGATGAATTTTGTATGAAGATAGATGACCCCGATTACCCGATCACGAAACTACACGGATGGAACCATGAAGTGGAAGCAGTTCAGGTTCAGTGGCCATAGTGACAGAGAACAACTGTGATACTCACGCGGACGGAGTAATTACTATTATTTATTTCGGGAATAAATAACAAAAATATAAACCAACATACAAGTGAAGCTAAGAAACAAGCGTTAGAAATATTTTCTGTAAATCAGTAAGGCCTCGGCCTCGAATTTTGCGGGCAGGGGAGCGGCGGCGGCGGCACGGGCAACGCATACCTCTTCTCCAAACTAGCGGGCAGATCGCGCGGCACTATAGCGGTGTAGTGTTGTGTTCGTGGTTGTGTTGTCGAGATATTTGTTTTTATTCGCGGACGAAATGTCTGAAAAACGTTTTGACATTTTGATACGTCACAAAAACAATTTACAACACTATACCTACAATGCAGACGCGCAACGCGGGCGGTCACCGCTTGACTGGAGTGCACCGCTCGTTGCCCGCCCCCGCGCCGCTCCTGCACCGCTGTATTCGAGGGTCGGTCCATTTGATTATACGCGTAAGATCCTGCCGCGAGATTCGAGGCAGAGGCCTTACGTATGGATGTGTTGGAAACAATCGAATAACAATAAGGAGCTACTTAAAATACTTAGGTTACTTTTAATTTGAAAAATTTGATAATATTTCTTTTATTGCATCTCTTCAAATAACAATATCACGGGTGACATCATTGTGTCAGAAACGTTCAATTAATGTAATACGTAATAATAAAAGTGATTAAATGGACAGTAAAATAGTTCAACCTAACTCTGAATAATAACAGAATAATATTAAATATTCAACAGTACATACCGTCACACTACTATCGTACATCAGCTACATACACTGCTCTTCATAGAAGGTTTCCTCTCGTCCGCAGACCACGTCCTATCAGACGCTCCACCAACAGCTTCGACCCTCATCTTGAATTATATATTCTTACGAGTCCTGGAATGTTACGAATGATTCTAGTTTATATAATGACAATAGATTTATTACTTAAATATTGGACTTACATGAAGTCGCATTTTAAAGGGTGAAAAACAGAATAATAAAGAAGACCATTGAAACGATATAACGTTGAAAAACCCTGCGGTCAATGTTACGCTTAGCGAATAATTCAAATATACTATTAAAATAAACTATTACTACTATCACTACAGATAATAAACACTAATATTAACCAAAACTAAAAATGTTACTTAATAAACATTTGAATTAGAACGATATGTCAATAATATAAAAAGTAACATTAATTATTAGTACCTATGTGCAAAAAAACACTCACCATGAAGATAAACGACGTAAAACACATCCATCATAAGGAAGGCCGCGGCCGACTGCCACCAGAGGCAACAGAGGGAGCCGGAAGGACAGGAGAAACATGAGAAATGAATTATGAAAGCAATTATGTAATAGTAAAATCATAAAATGTAAATTAATAAATTTTAACAACTAACAATAAACGAGCCGTCAGGTTGGCCAAGCTAAGAGTCATGAGGAATGGGGATGAAACCAGTGTTGCCAACTTTACTTTTTGGAGATCGTACCATAGACTAAAAAAAATAGTATTTTGTCTTGAAATTCAAGAAAATAAGCGTACGCGATGAAATTTCAATAAAACAGCGTAAGTATAACAAATAAAAATGGAATTTAATTCTAATTTTCAATTGACATTAATCATCAATTAATATGTGGAATTAAGGTATTCATTAATCACATATAGTTTGAAAACAAAAAAAAAATAATTGCATTAGTCACTATCTGAATTATTAGGAATAGCAAATGCGGGAAAAGCATTATATTTTTTGTACATACATACATACATACTTAAATTTAATTTGCTCAGCATATCGTCACATGGCTTGAAGTTTATACACGATCCTTTTTCTTTAATGTGTTGTGCAGCTAACAAATTCTTATTTACCATTTCTGGAATACAGTTTAGTTTTACATATTCCTTATAGTTATATAGTTACGTTTGAACTGGCCTTTCCTCGTCTATGATTTTAATAAAACCCTTTTGTCAAAGTTGGATGCAGGCGTCATAAAGATGTTGAAGTTGTGGCTCGGGCTCGCGCTAACGGCTGATTCATCGGCGTTATTTAGGGGAAGCAATAGTTTTGGGATGAGTCTAAAAAGGCCATCGGAGCTCTATAAACACCTAAGAGTTTCCAAGAGATATATCCTGGGGAAATCCCATGATGACGTAGTGACATCGCTCCCAAAAGACGAAGATGCCCCCGAGCTAGAGTCACGACTTCAATTCCATAAGCAATTTATGATAGGAGCACAAAGTAACAGAGTGGGGTTAGGATCAAATAGGAAAGTACAAGATGCGGATATATTGAAGTCTTTTATTCGGCAAGACGAGAATGATAAATATAAGATCCATGCAATGAATTTAGAAATGCAGAACGAGTGGTTAGACATAGGAGATTTTTGCATCCCATTAGCATGAAAATGGCGCACTTTAATTTATGATTGGTCGCCAGCATTGCTAAAATTCTATCTCAATGCGTTCCAGATGACTCTCCCAGATCAGAGTAATTTAGTAAGATGGGGTAAAAGTACCGAAAAAAACTTGCTATATCTGTGGAAAGGCAGTTGGAACTGCTAAGCATCTGCTGGTGGGATGTAAGGTACTCCTGGACAGCGGTCAATACTCGCGTCGTCACGATAGGGTTCTAGAAGTGAAGCGGTTAGTCTTTCGGTAGCCAGAGCGCAAAAGGAAATAACCACAAACGAACGATCAGTAGGTTTTGTGAGAGAAGGCACTAGGGCTACAAAATCAAACGTCAAGCCTTACTCCGTCCTTAAAGCGGCGTCGGATTGGACTATAATGATGGACACGTATGAAAAACAATATAAAATCCCCGAGGATATTTGTGCGTCGGCCTCCAGACCGGATATATTTTTGTTTTCGCGAATTTTAAAGCGCGTAGTGATGATAGAGCTTACGGTCCCTTGGGAAACCAACATCCCCAAAGACCATACCATCAAGGTCAACAAATATTACGAGCTCATAAACGAACTCACTCGAAATAGGTTCGTAGTAGATTTGTACGCTTTAGAGGTGGGAGCGAGAGGTATAACAGCGAAATCTCTCTATAACCTACTAAAGGACTTGGGCTTGTCCAGAACTCACATTAATGCATTCTTGGAACGTACATCGAAGGTAGCCCTGGTAGGTTCTTTTCAAATTTGGTTAGGTAGGGAGAGGAGCTTGGACAGTGGAGGTGAGCGTATAACGCGCGTTAGTTAAGGGGCCCCTTAAACCTACACTTGGGTCGCAAGTCCCAGGCACTGTTGAAGCTCCTCTCCTTGCAACGCGATGGACCCGGCACCCGCACGGTGAATCCATGGAATGCTGAGTAGTTTCGTCTCATCTAAATATAGTTAATTACATATAGTTATAGTACTAAAGTTTAGTTTTACACATTCCTAATAGTTTTATTGTAGATTTATTTTTTCGAATAACTCCTTTAATAATATCGTATATTTTGCGTACGATTTCGATCGTACATAAAGGTCGTATAAATACGATTTAAATCATACGGTTGGCAACACTGGATGAAACTGTCATATAATTACCGTGAAAGAAAAGATATCTTAAGTAGCTCTCAAATTGATTTGACTTTAGGACATATTTTAAATTATTTCAGTTGTTCATTTGCCGTTGTTTACTGTTCTTCTTGTGCTGTACGTTCTTTTTCAAACATTTGACCCGGCTTAATATATCATTGACTCCTATTTCTACGCTTTTGACGATCGACCCCGGCTTTTCTCAATTGGACTTTGTTTTCTGCGACTACGATAGACCCCGGCTCTTCTCATTTGGATTTTGATTGCAAACTACGAATTTGGATTATCGATAAGTTGAAGAAATGCCACGAAAATCGGCTATTAAGTGTTATTTTCGGTGTGCGACTAAAGGTACGATACTTATTTAGTAAAATCTGAAAAATGATTATTTGTCATATCTACAATCAATTACCACTCTTGTTACATCAATTTCAATCGTAACAGTTTGTTGACTTCTAATAAAAAACATTTCAGGTCCTTTTCATCAATTTCCTAAACCTGAATACCCAAATTTGGAGAAATTCATTCAATGGAAAAATATTTTAAATGAAGACATGAAACAAAAGGAAGATTCTTACATTTATAACAACATAAGAATATGTGATCGTCAATTTGAACAGTTTTACCGTTTTTTAAGTAAACGACTCACTCAAAATGTTGTACCAACTCTATACTTAAGTAAGTTTCTAAAGTAATCAACTTCCCAAGTAGTTATAGGCACAATACCTACTACTAATATAAAATAACTTTAAATAATCAATTATATTTTATAACTATAGATAATATTTTACATTATTATTATTTTACTTTAGAAATTGGTGCTCATAATTAAAAATTAAAAAACAAAAAAAATTGATTTAATTGAATATAATGAAATAGGTATACAAGTCATCTTAACATTTTTATATATATACTTACATGTGGTTTGATAGATTTATAATGTCTTTATTACCTTTTTTATCTAAATGAAGAAAAGTGCCTACAAACAGTATTCCAAAATAACTACTTGTGTCACTTCTTTACATATGTAAAACAAAAACAAAGTGTTCTAAATATGCAGAGATTATAATTTCACTGGATAACCACAAAACAAAAAAAGTTGTTTATAGTTTTTAATGTAATATAAGAATGGCAGTGTTTAATTCAGTAAAAATTACAAGTCTATTTACATTCAATCAGAAACTCTAAAAGAAACAAGGAAGGAAAATACAATCAAGACAATATATTATCATTCAATTTTAAGATTTTTCATTTAATTTTTCTTTTAATATATTTATTTGTATTAAAAAAAATATTTTATTTAGCAGCATCAACATTAGAGACTGTACACTCATCACATTCTGTTGAAACTGAAAAATATGTTGATATACAAAAACAAGACAATGATGCATCTTGTAATCACCACTTGGATTTAAATATGAATCAAGTTCAGCTATAAAGGAGTTCTGCTAATTCCTCTCATTTATTTCCTAAAGGTAAGCTACGGGCATATAACTAAGCTTAAAATTAACTATGATTGCTATATTAACTTTTAAATTATAAAACAGCATAAAGCATTTTAAATACAATATAAATTTAAACCACAGATTCACTGGATTTATTTCATATCTTCTTCAAATATGTATATTTTTTGTCTTTTAATAAACAATAATCCCGGTTTTAGATAACCTGATTCCTTTTTAAGTAAATACTGATATTAACTCAGATGAGTGATCATCATCTATATTTAAACCTAAGATGTTCAAAATGTCTTCTCATCATTTAATTGATTATCTGAAATCCCTTATGACAACTATTAGTCCCGTCGTTAGAGATACTACAGTATACATAATTAAACATAACTAACTATATCAATATTTATAAAACATTCATTTCGCTCCCTCGTCTCCTGCCAGCCGGCCGCGGTCTTCCTAGTTCCTCGTAATGGATGTCTTTTTCTAATGCTGATGCTTCATGGTGTTTTTTTTACATATATCTAATTATTATATTGTATATTATTGGCATTACTTACATTATAAGTTCTTATACTTATTGAGTAACATTTTTAGTTTTGTTTGATATTAGTTTTATTTTATTGTGTAGTATGTGGTAGGAATTTTGAATTATTTCCTAAGTGTTACATACATTGGGCGCAGGGTTTTTTAACGTTATCTTTTTGATGGCTTCCTTTTTTTATTTTAACTATTATCCTTACAATTTTCGGCCACGCCCTAAAATGCGACTTTTTAATGTAAGTTGATAAGTTTGTTAACAATTAATGTATTTTCTTTATAAAAATAGTATTATTTGTAACGTTCCAGGACTCTTGAGAATGTATAATTCAAGATGAGGGTCAAAGCTGTTGGTTGAGCGTCTGTTAGGACGTGGTCTGCGGACGAGAGGAAATCTTTTATGAAGAGAAGTGTATGTAGCCGATGTACGATAGTAGTGTGACGGTAAGGTCTGTTGGTTACTTTGTTTTGAGTTATATTGTACATTTTAATGTTAATTTCTCCATAATGTATCTTTTATATTGAGTAAACTGTTATCAACACATTCATTTTATAATTCTTCATGTGCTGTTGATATTATATATGATGACATCCATATGGCGTCTTTCTAGAATAATCGATTATTATAAAAGTGTTTAAATAGTGTTATATTTTCTAAGTAAATCATTTGATGTGTTTAGTTTAAGTATAAACATTTATAATTTCTGTAGGAATCCAATATTTCAAACAGAATAATAATAATACCATACATAATACAGTATGTTATTAATGATGATACTAACTAGACTGATATATAAATAATTGTTTTATTTGAATAATAAACCTTCTTAGTGATATGAAGTGTAATTTAGTTATGGATATTTTAAGATTAATATAAAATACTAGCTTTTGCCGCGACTACGTCCGCGTGGAATAGTGACTTCCGGCAGATTTTTGATTTTTCCCACATAGTTCCCGTTCTTGCGGGGTTTTCGAAATGGTCGAGTTCCCGTATAGTTTTCAGGATAAAACCTATGTCTTTTTTTAAATTCACAATGAAGTACTCTTAACAAACAACCTATTTATTTGTTTATTTGAATAAAGATTTTATAAAATTATTTTGACCAAATTAGGTTCCATAAAAACGGTTTTTGTGAGTTAATCTTAAAAGATAGACATATACTGTCGCGGACTGTTTTTTAGATCATTAAAAGAGCTATTATTCTTTAATACATATTTTTTGTGTATCTTGAACCGTTTTCACGGCGCACGCAACGGAAGGCTTCAAAGATGAAATAATTTCACACATTACACCATTACATCACATTACATCACGTTTTTTACACATTTACCACTATATCTTTGCTCCTATTGGTCGTGGCGTAATGTTGTATAGCCTACAGCCTTCCTCGACAACTGGACTATCCAACACAAAAAGAATTATTCAACTCGAACCAGTAGTTTCGGAGATTAGCGCTTTCAAACAAACAAACAAACAAACTCTTCAGCTTTATAATATTAGTATAGATTATATTTTTATTTTCAAACAATCCTTGATGTAACTGTCTCTGTATGTCTTTATATATGAACAATATTGTTTGTGAACAGTATTAATATATTGTATTATGTATTACAGATGGTGTTATTGGACTGTACTTGAGATTCATCCATCAGGAGATGACGGCTGATCATCAAGTGTTAGATGAAAACTAACAATGAACCAGGTAGCTATTAATGAAACATGAGTGTGTGATTACACTAGACACAATATATTAAAGACAATGAGCTACACATTATATGGAGAGGGAAGTGACTGAGATTTAAACATATTAGAATGTAAAAGACTTGAAGTATCAAGTGTAGTGTTGAAGGTGGAGTGTTGCAGCGGCTCAAACAGTCAATACAAGCTTTATCCATACATTTGTATGTAGCTCCTGCGGGACTTGCTTCATGTTAAGAATCATTGTTTCAGTAGCTTCTGATGAGTTCTGTTAGCTGTTAAGATTGTTAACTTACTGTTGTTACATATTATTATAAATACTATTTTATTATAGTTAAAGTGTCAATTAACAACAATTTCTTAATTTTCAGATGGTGTTAGGGATTCAGTCAAGGTGCAGAGAATCTAACGACTAGAGTTTTAATATGTAATTCTCATTATAATATACATAGAAATAAGTTTCGTAGTTTTCCTGTAGTAGTAGTAGTGTTTACTTTTTACTACAATCATTAAACTAAGTAAATATTTTTCATTTCATCAATATTAAGGACGAAGATTTGGTATATAAATATTTTTTAATTTATTTATAAGTACTTACTAATTTACCAAAAAAAAAAAATCTGAAGGAAACTTTGTAATCGATTTATTTATGTACAATCAAGTAGCAATAAAATAATATGTTCTGTAACTCATAAAGAGCACAATCAGGTTTTATAATAATTTGCGTTCAGTCGCAATTATTAAATAGAAAAACAACAAAATAAAATTAAAATAGGCAATTGTTTTAAAATAAAAACGGTTACTAATAATGAAAACAATTACTTACATAGTTATTCTGAACATATGGATATTGTGCTGTATATAAATTTAAAATTCCACTTTAGTCCGAGGAACTATAAGGCTTATTAAATTAAAACTAAAGTAGTAATATGTAGCTCAAGGAGGAATCAAAAATATAAATACAGTTTACAGAAATCATTCGTCAAAGTCTGGCGCCACGGCTCGATACACAAGCTGTTCGAACTAAACGTGTCGGCCATGTTCGTGTACATCATACGAGTCTAATTGTCTAATCTCTCTTTCATGTATCGAGTATCTCTGTTTCCCCGCTCACTAAGGGCGCGCGTGTCTCAATTCTTCTTCTTCTCCTCTCTTCTATACTCGTTATTCATGATCAATATCCAAGTACAAATATATCAACACATGTAGTTCAAGCGGGTCCTACTACATCGGTTCTCATCTTCAAGAAGCGGCCAACGACTTTAGTTAATAGTTCTGTTGATGAAAGATAGATGTGTATCCCTTCATCTGTATGTGTAATGTATTTATATGTAGACATCTTCACGATCATAAATGTTGTTTAGGGTCAGCGAAGGTTTGAAAAAAAAAGTCAGTTTAACTTATAAAAATCAGTTTATTATATTTTGACTGAGATAGACGGAGAAAAAATAATGTTTGATTTAAAAATGTACATGATAAACAGCCAACAACACTATCTATAATATGTTTTACTTGACTTTAAACAAATACTGATGAAGTTATTTTCGTGTACAATATAAGTAGTATAAAAATAGAAGACAAATCAATATCTCAATTTGCAAAAGCATGTAATGTAAAATTTACAAATATCTTAGTGTATGAATGTGTCTTCTAAATTTCTACAATATATTTAGAATACGAATAATTTCGTCAATAGATGGCGTTGTTCTCCATCACTTAGCCAATGGTTGTTCAGTTCTCTTTAAACGAAACTTTAAGAGTTGGATTTACAACATACAATTATATTACTTTACATATAGACGTTTCGATTACTCTACGTATTCGCTGGGTGCGTAAGGCATAGTGGGGGGACACAAAAGTTATGTTTTTAGCTGAGCCACGGATTTTTTTAAATTTAATATATCACATTCACATTGAGAAAAAAAATTTAAGTGGATGTTATTTTTCAATAACTATTTGAAATCTAATACAAGTTATTTTCTCAAAAGAGCCACCGTAAGTTGTATCGTTAGAATGCGCTGGGATCACAGACAGACGATATTAATGTTTCTGCCATTTAGTCAAACATATAAAAGTGAAGTAGTTTTCCTTGTACAGTCTTTATTTACTAGATATGATAATGAACGTTGAATGAGAAATTACAAAAATTATGATATATGTATTTTTACATTTACATGATATATCGTATTAAACCTTCTATTAATCTATTCTATCTACTCTTATAATGTAATTTATTGTTAACATTGAAAGTTAGGTTTAAGATTAAACATTATGCATCTTTTAAATAAAAATATATATTAGTGAAAAGTTCTGTTTAAATGGAGCTGTCGTTGTGCAGAAACTGTGGGTTAAATGAATTGTTACATTTACTGTAGTTTGTATATTACTTGTTAGGGAGCTACTTCACTATCACTCGCAAAAACTTTGTATGATATGTTCTGTTACAAATATTACTTTAACTACTTTCAAACAAATTTAACAAAATAATATAAGTACAAAGAACAGTGTAAAAAATTAACAAGTACAATTGTAAAATAAAATCATGTACATAAATATATAACAGTTATTAAATAATATTAACAGTGGAAATACTTAAATGACTCTGAAAAGTAAGTATAATATAAGTACATATACTTAAAAACAAGATCACAATTGAATCTAGTAAAAATAATATTCAATACAACTGCACTATTGGCAGAGAGGACATGAAATTCTCTTCGTCAGTAGTAGAAGTATTCAGTTCTGTATGTGTTGTCATCCTAGAAGGGCCTGCTTGTGGCTCATTGTGTTCCATAGGCTGGTCAACACCAGGAGGCAGGTTGGAGTCATGAGATAAGTCATCTCCTTCATTGGCTGCGTCTGAAATTGAGAAATACTAATATAATAAAGCTGAAGAGTTTGTTTGTTTGTTTGTTTGTTTGAAAGCGCTAATCTCCGAAACTACTGATTCGAATTGAATAAATCTTTTTGTGTTGGATAGTCCAGTTATCGAGGAAGGCTGTAGGCTATATAACATCACGCTACAACCAATAGGAGCAAAGATATAGTGGTAAATGTGTAAGAAACGGGAGAAATTATTTCATCTTTGAAGCCTTCCGTTGCGTGCGCCGTGAAAACGGTTCAAGATACAAAAAAAATATGTGTTAAAGAATAATAGCTCTTTTAATGATCTAAAAAACAGCCCGCGACAGTATATGTCTATCTTTTAAGATTAACTCACAAAAACCGTTTCTATGGTACCTAATTTTGTCGAATAATTTGTTTAAGTTGTATCAAAATAATAATATTAATCTTTACTCATATAAACAAATAAATATGTTGTTGGTTAAGAGTACTTCATTATTAATAAAAAACATAGGTTTCATCTTGAAAATTCTATGGGAACTCGACCATTCCGAAAAAGCAAAAGCTAGTTGAGAAATATAACGGCAGAAATCTATTCGATTTTTGATTTCACTCAGTTAAATAAACATAGCCCTCACAAAGTGGTTGTAAAGCATCCCAATATCCCGAGCCCAGGGTCTCTTCTTTTTTTTTTTTTTTTGATGACGTAGTGGAAACTCTTATTACGAGCCGTCCAACCGGCCTTGGTGGGGCCGGAAGGGATGTGTGAGGCTCGGCCTGGGCAGGCCCCTACTCACTAAAACCACTGCGAAAGCCATCGGCCGCTATGTCGGTGTACCCCGGATCTGTCAGCGACAGGGCACACCAGCGACTGGCCGGTCCTGGCAAAGACCGGACTTACTCCCTCGGATACATTACATTATATACATTACATAATAATATAAACGCAATGCATACACCAAATATTATTTATATTTGCGTTAGCATTGTTTATTTGTGAAATTAGTTATCCCAATTTCGTGGAAATAATATGGTCAGGTATTCACTAACACTCCGCTGCACACGCACACACAGACAGACACAACAATGTATCTACTAGCCGCGCCCGCGCCCCTCTCTCCGAGTGCCGTCCGACAATAATAATAATTGATTACTAATTTAATATTTCATTTTAAAAATCTGAATACCCTGACTTACGATCCATTTTAGTTTCTATGAAGTGTTTAGATAACTGTGTGTAGGATGACTGTAATTTACTTAGTTCTATATAAATTTGAGAAAAAAAAAATGACCTACATAAAAAATTATCAAAATGGATCTAGATTCCGTTTCATTTTAAATTAAATAAGTTTCAGGGTGTGCGTTAATTACGTTACACATTGTATATGAGGGTTCATCAATACCGGTCTGTATGTAATGTGAGGCGGCTCGTTGTAACAGCGGCGGTACATGAGGCGGGACAGACTCAGAACTCTGCGGACACTCGAGACGCCTCCTCGTACAACTCTGAACATGAAAAAAATATTAAAAGCTAAATGTGATGATAATACACAGCTTTCTTGAGTATTGTTTAAATTTAACAGACTATCGCTGCTGTAAGTTATCCAGCTTATGAATTTATTGATCTCTATCTTGCCGTGTCATGTATGTTCATACGTAATAGACGAAGGTAACAAACTATCACCATTTTATAAAAACTATCGTTCTTAACAAAGCATTTTAACATTCTTCAAAAGGAATTCTTCAGAGATACAATAAAGTAATTTCCGTACGTACCCAAGTCTTTGTAATGCTGCACCACTTCTCTTGTCATGAGAGCTTCAAACTGTGCCAGGTCCCCGCGCTCGACCAACACCTCCTCCGTCTATACACGTCACATAAAACTACACTTACTACACTACTTAAATCATTAGTATAGCCAATGTAAGTAGAGCTATCAAATTTTTTTAACGACAAAAACTCTCCTATTGTCAACTTCTTAGCAAATCTTATCGTTCAAGAGTTGTTTAAAGTAAATACGAATAAAGTATAGGAACATTGAAACTAAAATGACGTCAGTCATCATACAGAATGTGTCACCACATGCGTGGCATGCTGTTCGGCCAAGGCCAAGCTCCTCGGTGATTCCCTTTAGACAGCCACATGTGAA